TTTCGCTCGACAGTTTCGTCATTCATGACTTTCCAGTGTTCCACATGAGCTGTGGTGAATAGTCAATTTCATAATATGCTGTAGCATATGACACCATTTCTGGCCTCCACGACAGACCTGCAAGGTTGCATTTATGAATAGTCAGACTTGATTCGAATCTAGGATTCGTTTTAGTTTTAACGTTAGTGTTTGTTGAAGTTTCACCGTGTTATTGCAGAAGAAATCCTCCACCTGTCGCTACGATTGGTTCCAGACCGGAAACGATGTCACCGTTAACATTTACGCGAAAGCAGTACTGCCTCTCGACAGCTGTATTTCTGCCAGCAGCGTCTCTCTGATCGCTCATATCGAATATAACTACGGCGACAGCATGTTTGATCTGAATATCCCATTATGGGGCGTAAGTGCATGAATATATTAGTGTTTAAGTTCCAAAAGAAGCGGCAATCTTTTAGGCCATCGACGTCTCGAAGAGTATCGTAACGATGAACGCGTCGAAGGTCGAGATTAAGATGAAAAAAGCGGATCTTATTTCTTGGCCGAAACTATTCTACACCGAATCGTGATATCACACAAGAAACTTTAGCTTTCTTGAAATTTGTTAGCATAATGCTTTTCAGTCGATCCATGTTAAAACTATGTCGCCACTTTCGTCATACCTGGTAACGCGTGTAATTAAGTTCTTTTCTAAACACTGCTGAAAATGATGCTTCAGTTATCACCTGTCTGTTCCCTTGAAAATAATAAACCGTTCATACATAATAATTCCATTAAGCTACATCTGAATTTTTTTACCACGTTTTTTGTTGGTTTAAAGGTCGGACAGACAGACAGTTCACGATTAAGAGTAATAATGATATCCGTGCCCAGAGAAGAACTGTCATTTAGACTATGATATATAAATTTAAATCCAGTTATCCGTCGAAGTCTAAGCTGTTTCATGCTGTTCAATTGACGTTCGTTGTTTTTCATTAGAACTCACAGCATCACCGACTTCTTTTAGAAGACATTTTTGGAAAGAGATGTTTTTCAGCCCAGATATTTAAAAGATTCCTAAGAAAACCTTTAAAGGAAAAACTGATACTCCTAATTAAGTTTGATTGAAAGGCGCCATCTTTGGAGATAGTGGAATCAAGATATTTAAGTTGATAGACCTCTTCTACGATTTCACCTCCCTTTCCCCGTAGCAGTCAGT